TGAAGTCTTGGGTTAAATTTTGCTTTATTATGAGATATTCAAATAATTCTTGTATTTATGTGAACTACTTACTGTACATGCAATAATGAAAAAAATCACTGGAGTCACCACTAATAACAATTTTTATTTAAAAAGTTGATATATTTATTTCCTATGAATAGTCAACTTTTATTTAATTGTAGTTGGATTATTAGTCTCTGTACATTTATTTCCAATGGTTTGTTTATATATGGTTGTGAAGAAGATATTTTTAATATTTCTGAATACCATTGATAAGTGGATTGATATAAACTATTTTGATTCTTGCTTATTATATGTGATAATGCAAAATCTAGTAGAAGTGTGTATCCAAATTTCCAATTGTTCTCAATAAAAGAATACTTACACCAAATGTTTGTAATATTTCGTTTAACTTTAATTGCCATAGTCAATTGGTTTCCTGTATTCTATTTTGCTTTAACATTACTTGATGTAGAAAAGTAATATTTTTATTACTTTTAAATTTTAATTGATAATAAAATTTTATTATGCATTTTGAAAAGAATGGTAAGAACCAGATTCAATTTTGTTTTGTGTCATAAAGCATATCCAGGTACAGTTCTCTTTAGTTGATATAGTCTTTGGAGGAAATAAATATGGAAACGTTCCAGATCAAATAAGTAGTCAAACCCCCAAATTGGTCCTGCATAATATATAATTGAAGTTATCAAGGAATTGTACAGTTTCATATGTAGGTATATATTTGAAATTTTTAATTTTGAACATAAATATAACAAATTATCAATTGTTGCTTTCACTCTACTATTCAGTTTGGAAATGTGTGATTTAAAACTTCTGTTCAATTCAGAGATCACTCCCAGATATTCTGTTTCCTTGAGTAATTGAGGAGGTACATTTTCTAAATATAATTTAGTNATTCCAAAATTGTTAGTTGTATTCAAGTCTGATTAATGTAAATTTAATTATACAGTATTATGATTTTCCTGGTTATTTATGTTATAACCATAAAAATCAAATAAATATTTTAAATATATGAACTTTTAGTTATTATTTGATGATCACATTTCAACTCAGAAAAAGGTAAACTATTTCAAAGAATTTCATTTATCATTTCTTAAAAGAGACAGGATTTAAATTGCAATTATTTTAAACAGAAATTACGGCAACCAACAATTTGTAACAGTCAATTCCTGCTAATCTATTTCAGAGATTATAAAACTGATTCGATAAGCGTATAAAACACATTTATCATTTGTGTTAGAAGAAAACAGTTGGTATACGGCATTAAAGTTATTTTTACAAAATGATGTCGTTGAAAATAATATGTTTGACAGTTTTATTATTGCTGGTAATGAACGTTGCTGCGCAACGAGGGTGTAAGTTTCATTTTTTTTTTTAAACTTGTTTTTAGNTGTTCTACTGATGTTTATCATTATTATTACTTTTTAAGAAATTGAGTATTTTTCTATTCTTAGACTATTATTATTTTTTGAAGAAATTATTTCATTTAGCTTTCAGGAAGATCATTATTAAGTGAACTCTAATTTCCTGTAGGTTCAGTGCAACGACTTCAAGAAAATTTATGCTTCTGTCTGTAGAATGAACTATAAAATACCATATTGATGTTAAAAAAATACATTTCATATAATTCTAGTACAAAATTTCTTTCCGTCATAAAAACGTAAAGTTATAAAATGACGATATTAGAAATTATTTTGACAATTTATTCCAAAATTGTTAGTTGTATTCAAGTCTGATTAATGTAAATTTAATTATACAGTATTATGATTTTCCTGGTTATTTATGTTATAACCATAAAAATCAAATAAATATTTTAAATATATGAACTTTTAGTTATTATTTGATGATCACATTTCAACTCAGAAAAAGGTAAACTATTTCAAAGAATTTCATTTATCATTTCTTAAAAGAGACAGGATTTAAATTGCAATTATTTTAAACAGAAATTACGGCAACCAACAATTTGTAACAGTCAATTCCTGCTAATCTATTTCAGAGATTATAAAACTGATTCGATAAGCGTATAAAACACATTTATCATTTGTGTTAGAAGAAAACAGTTGGTATACGGCATTAAAGTTATTTTTACAAAATGATGTCGTTGAAAATAATATGTTTGACAGTTTTATTATTGCTGGTAATGAACGTTGCTGCGCAACGAGGGTGTAAGTTTCATTTTTTTTTTTAAACTTGTTTTTAGAAATTCAATAATAATTAACAATTTTTTAAAAAAATAAAATAGTAAAAAAATTCACAAGTAAATTATAATTCATTTAATATAATTTTTATTATTATAATTAAATTATACGTAATAAATTGAATAGATTTTCTAATTAAATAGTTTTTGAATTTTAGTATTAATGTTACAGTGAAAACCCGTTTTTAGTTAGAACGCGTTTTAACTAGTTGAAACTAGTTTATACTGAACGTCTTTGTTAAAACCCGTTTTGTCTAGTTAAAACTACTTTTAACTCAAATTCATTTTTGACTAGCAGTAAATTCTAGTTTTAACTAGACTAAACAGGTTTTAACAAAGACATCCAGTATAAACTAGTTAAAACGCATCCTAACTAAAAACTGATTTGACTGCAACGCATAGAGTGATTCGGGGTAACATGGTAAGCGGGGGATGATGCCTAATTTTTGATATTTTCAAACGGTGACGTCACATACTGTCATGTATTTGTATGATGAATCGTTGGGCCAATATTGAGTGCGGAAAGCTGTAGTTGGCTACCGTTACTTCATTTTCTACATCTGAGAAGAATAAAAGTTAGATAAGAACGAAGTTTTTGTTGTGAAATGTTTCTAGAATAATTTTAAACTAAAAGTTAAAATGGAATTTATTANGATAACTTGCCAAAAATAAAACGCTCTCGGTTAATAGTGCTTTTAGTGATGACAAAGAAAACATTGTTTAATTTATATTAATATGTATCACTTAAGAAAATTTTAATAAAGATATTTATCTTAATTATGAAAATATAGTAGCATGTTTTTTAATTTTTGGAACCTAACCCTTCTTTTCGTACTAGTTCTTTGTTTCACATAACACGGATTCGCATAACACAACAATTTCTTGGAACATAACTACCGTGTTATACGGGGTTACCTGTAATTTTCTTTCAGGATTTTTGAGCCAAACTGCTTTAGATTTAATACACAATGTGAGAATCTGGGGTTAATGATAAATTAAATTTTTAATTTAAATAACAAATTTTTATTATAAATTTTCAATAGAAATTTATCTGTCATAAATTTATAAAGTTGAAAAAGGAACTTTTTTTCTAGAGTAAAGTCGTATAACTAACATTTGTATAATAACTTTGATCATTCCTTATTAATAAATTTCTTTTAATTATCGTTTGATTTGATTAGTGCCTAACTCCATCATCAGCCCATGGTTCTCACAATACCCATGTATTCCATGTTATTAGCAATTCAATTAAAACCGTTCTAAAATTTTGGTCAAGTTTCTAATATACTTTTTCCACTCAGAAAGGAACTGATGTAGCAGACATGTACAGGTGAAAATAAAGATATTTTTTATTTTGACTTTTGACTCAGATCTCCTCTTTGCAAATCAGAAACTTCATTCATATAATAAGGCCTATTAATAAACAGGGCCAAGTAGATAAATAGATACAATGTGTGAGATAAGCCGTTGGTCAGGGGTTAATCTCCTACTGACCACTTAATCGGCATTAGGTTGGTAAAACCCAATCTCGGGGTCGTTGGATGGCTAGGAGGGCAAATTGAGTGGGGAGCGCATCGGTAAGTTGGCAGGCATCCTTAAGTGACAGGAGTCAGGTTAACAAAATAACAAAGCATTTATTGAATAACTAAATCTAACTCTACAAGAGGTGAACTTACTACTAAGGTTAAATGCGGTTATATTAAATTATTTACAGAATATGGCGACTAATTTTGTAGCTATTTCGCTGACCTAATTTCTAGTTCGAGAGAGAGCGCTTTTACAAATTCTAGATCCGTAAATACCTCTCGGTGGAAGGGAGAGTTTGCGAACGTCGTCTGTATGGAAGGGTGTGGTGTCTTCCGTGTCTTCTTTCGGTGTCCTCTCTCTGTAGCTGGATCAAGTCCGCTGTATGGAGGTTCGGGAGTCGAGGTGGACACTATCACAAAGTATAACTTCCTATGATGAATCACCCTGAGCTTCCGGGGATTCGAGCTTTTGTATCATTAGCATGGGAAAACTATCACGTGATTGACTTTTGTTGATGATGATGGTGCATTCTTCACACCTAACTGTAAACTTCCTCAGCTAGTTGTTATACAATCGGCGAAATCTGATCTAGTTCAAATTCTTCGGGTTTTTTCCGAAGACAATTAATTAACAGAAAAGTTGTATTTTTAAAAAGCCCGTAAAAATCTGCAAGCTCACAAATATATTTCTGTGTATATATTTATTTAGTTTACATAGATAATGAAATAAAATTGCTATAGGTTAATCTTCTTTCCAGACATTTTTAATATATTTTTTATTAATTAATTTTATCATTTAATTTGGTTTGAATATTATAACATTACTTGTCTTAAGTACAAAATTTTTTAATAGTTAATTAGTAATTAGTTAATTTTTAGTTAATTAGTAATTAGTTAATTTTTAATAGTATAGTTTAAAAATATTTCATAAATTTGAATATTTGAATTATGTAAGTTTTTATATTAATATTTATTTCAAGTTTTTTATATTGTTTGAAGATGTTTTAAATTTAAAAATATCATTTTATAAAATTAATGCAGATTATTACTGAGAACAATGAATGAATCAATTTTACACTAATAGAAAATAAATTTATTTTAATAGAAATTCCTATATTTGTAATATTTCAAAATTAAATTCAGTTATAAAACATTATTTTATTGTAGAAATATAGAGTGCTAATTTTGAATTCAGTTTAATATTGTTGATAGAGTTCATAATATGAATTTACTTAATAATAATTTATTTATTTCAGGGTTCTATTGCATATGTTCCACAGAAAGCTTGGATTCAGAATGCTACATTAAGAGACAATATTTTATTTACTCAGGAATGGAATGAATATGATTATAGTTTGGTTCTTGAATCATGTGCCCTTCTACCTGACCTAGAGGTTCTTCCTGGTGGTGATTTAACAGAAATTGGTGAAAAGGTATTATAATATGATTTAGAACTGATTTAGATTTTATCTCATGGATTTTATCATAATTATATCATTTTTTTATTTTTCTGCAAACCAATTATTGCTTGAAGATCATGAATGATTCAACCAAATGTCTTGATATACTTTAGGAATATTATAATGTAATAATGTGATCTACCGACTTTTTCTCTTTGACAATAGTTTGACATCATTTTTGATAAANGAAATCTCTCCGTAGCGTGGCGCTACGGACGGCGGGTAAGTAGTTCGGCTGCCCGATGACGTTTTACGTATTATAGGAGTTATTTTTACCGTTGTTTACGGATAATGCCACAATTTTTATAGGAATCATAACTATAGGAAACGGTTTTATAGGGGGATCTACTGTATACATTTTCTGTATTTTCCAGTTGAATTTAAATGGTATTAATAGTACAAAAAGATTTAGAATTCCACAACAAAAAGTTGTATTTTATTGTAGTACTGTATTAATACTGTACAAAATTAATAAATCAGTGTTTGACATGGCCTATTAAAACAGCAGATCTATACTGTACTTACACACAATACAGAAATAAGTCATTCATGGTGTTGGATCTATATAATCCAGATCTGTTTTACTGCTTGCTTCTGCATTATTTCAATTATTTGGCTAAGCTGAACAGGGCTCTGTCCCAATTAGTTCGGACTAGCAGGACTCTACTGCACTTTTTGTGAGAAACTTATCCAGATATACAGAAAATGTAAACATAATTTCTCCAGTACTTTGACCAATAATCTTTGGCAAATACTAACAATGGATTTTACTTGTCTTATAAGACTATCAAAAATTATATGTAGATTTGCTTTTTGACAGTAAAAAGATTGATATACTACAAATATTGAATTTACTACAATAATTATAGTAAATGTTTATATTCATATAATATATGAATTTGAAAGTGAGTACAATTTTAACTTAGTTACAAACTCATCAAGCAACTTTCCTTTATCTAAAATCACCAGAACATCTTTAGAAAATGTAAAGTATTTTTTGTACTCCAGACATGTGCCTTCATGATTTTTCTTGAAACTGCCAAAGATATGTAGCCTATACTTTGAGTTCTCTCCTGTTTGTGTGTCAATGCTTGCTTTAATTAATATTTATTATACTTTTAAAAAGTAATTTTTCCTATCTATATAACTCTTAAATCTTTATAAATAGTTTTCTATTTAGAAACTGAGCAATCAGTTTTTAAATCTGTGTCAGTGGACATCATTTACATTAAAAATTTTCCGTTTATTTTTTGTTTAGTTTATAATGATAAATGCTAAAATATTGTGTTCGTGAAGGGAAATAAAATTATAAAAATAATAATCAAAAGCAGAAATTACACTTTCAGCAAGAGCAGCATGTAACTCAAAAAGAGCTGCATTTGCGTATGTCTGGTATATATATCTATAGTAAGAACCATATACACTTATACATACAACATGTGGCCTTAGCGTTTATTCATTTCCCAGCTACCTTATGCCACTAATAGTTTTCTGGTCCGTTAGTTGGTCGTTCATTTTGAATCTTGATATTGTTCAAGTGAATTTCATTCAAAATCCTGTTCATTTTTACATTCAGAATCTTCGATTGCATCAAACTCCTATCAAATTCCTTTTATATCAATAATTTTAGTATCAGCAGGAAACATCTAAAAATAAGTTTTTAATTTTTATTCATGTGTGTATAAAATAAAACTTACAAAAATAAATCAATATTAACTATTAATTAAATGACAATCTAATATATAATCGAGATGGGTTGATGATAATNTTTTTCCGAAGACAATTAATTAACAGAAAAGTTGTATTTTTAAAAAGCCCGTAAAAATCTGCAAGCTCACAAATATATTTCTGTGTATATATTTATTTAGTTTACATAGATAATGAAATAAAATTGCTATAGGTTAATCTTCTTTCCAGACATTTTTAATATATTTTTTATTAATTAATTTTATCATTTAATTTGGTTTGAATATTATAACATTACTTGTCTTAAGTACAAAATTTTTTAATAGTTAATTAGTAATTAGTTAATTTTTAGTTAATTTTTTAGTTAATTAGTAATTAGTTAATTTTTAATAGTATAGTTTAAAAATATTTCATAAATTTGAATATTTGAATTATGTAAGTTTTTATATTAATATTTATTTCAAGTTTTTTATATTGTTTGAAGATGTTTTAAATTTAAAAATATCATTTTATAAAATTAATGCAGATTATTACTGAGAACAATGAATGAATCAATTTTACACTAATAGAAAATAAATTTATTTTAATAGAAATTCCTATATTTGTAATATTTCAAAATTAAATTCAGTTATAAAACATTATTTTATTGTAGAAATATAGAGTGCTAATTTTGAATTCAGTTTAATATTGTTGATAGAGTTCATAATATGAATTTACTTAATAATAATTTATTTATTTCAGGGTTCTATTGCATATGTTCCACAGAAAGCTTGGATTCAGAATGCTACATTAAGAGACAATATTTTATTTACTCAGGAATGGAATGAATATGATTATAGTTTGGTTCTTGAATCATGTGCCCTTCTACCTGACCTAGAGGTTCTTCCTGGTGGTGATTTAACAGAAATTGGTGAAAAGGTATTATAATATGATTTAGAACTGATTTAGATTTTATCTCATGGATTTTATCATAATTATATCATTTTTTTATTTTTCTGCAAACCAATTATTGCTTGAAGATCATGAATGATTCGACCAAATGTCTTGATATACTTTAGGAATATTATAATGTAATAATGTGATCTACCGACTTTTTCTCTTTGACAATAGTTTGACATCATTTTTGATAAAATACCTCATTTAATAACCATTTTGAAAGCTCAATCTGAAATGTACAATTTAACATAGGAAAACTGATCATAGAAATAAGTTGTTTAATTTATTTAATAAATACAAACATAAATTTAATCTAAAACTGATATTTTTTTATTTTTTAAATTTGTACATAATCAAAGATTGCCTTGAAAAAATTTTTATGATTGTATTACATTGTTGAAATAACAAAATTATTTAATTTATATTACAATATTTCATTAAATCTGAAAGCAAAACAGCAAAATTGCTTTGTGACAGCTTATATAGTTTATATAAATTTTTATACTCAATTTTCTCTAAATAGTTTATATAACTGTAATTGTAAGATATACTCATTCTTATTTGCATTTTTGTAAAATGTAATAAAGAACACATGAAAAAACTAAATATAGTAGAAAGAAAGTGAATTTAAGTTTAAAGTTTAGTATTTGAAACATTAAGATGATATTATTGTTTTTATATATATAATAAATGTTATATGATTTATATCACAATGCATCAGTTACTGTATAAATATAGAAATATTTGAAGTTTAATGAAAGTGTATTGTATTTATTATTTTTAAATATTTCAGATTAAAAGATTTAAGCAAATAATATTCATATAAAGTAAAATTAATTCCTTATATATAAACCTTAAAATATTTCATGCTTGAGAAAACTTCAAAAATGTTCTGCATTAATGAATAAATAACAACAGAAAAATAGAAATTAAAACTAGTTTAATACATTAAAATATGATATCCATTTTGATTATAAAATTTATTTTATTATTATTTTTTTTAAATAAGAATTAAATTTATGTTAAAATTAATGATTTTATTCAAGCTAAAAATATTTATTTTACATGAAAACAAATTTTAAATGATTTCAATAAGAAAACCTTATTAAAATCATTTAAAATTCAAATTTATCAGTGATGAATAAAATGTTTAGTAGTCAAAATATTCATCAATTGATAAATTTATTTAAATGATTTAAGAATTCGCTATTTGATTATAATTAAGAACATAATAATATATTTGTGATTATATAATAGTGATTTTATGAATCTCTACTCAATACTACTACTTTGTTTGCCTTAACTTTAGACAAACTTTTAAGTGATTATTAGTTAAATAATTTTTCTTTCTTTTTGAAAAATGAATTTTCAATAGAAATAATCATAAATTTGCTTTGTAATGAAACTAAAATTTTGTTTATCTAATTTAACAAGAATTTTCTTATTTGTATATAACTATGTAAAAGTTCAGAAATTTAAATGTTGAAAATGCACACATTTAGAAATTGATTATGATGTAATAAAAATAATTGTACTTCTTAAAATAAATTTTCGTAATTATGATGATGATGCCTCTCATTCATAAAGTAACAAACTGACTAATTTATTAAATGTCTTGTTAATATAGGATAACATTATCCCACAATTATATTAGATTATTACCATACATTATCATCATCAATATTAATAAGAAATTCTAGTTTGTAAGTAGCATTGGCATTCTATTATCTTCATTTTTGAATTTATTGTCTCTACAAAAAATAAAATTATAAAAGAAATTAATTTTAAGTATAATTTCCAATTTTTATTGAAACCCCTCTTGCTATAATTGCATTTAAAATTGCAGTAGTGCTATTTTGGTGGCATTTCTGTCATAATTTTTTTTTCTGTTGGATCTAGAAATATCTGAAAATTAGATTTGATTCTGTTGTTTTATTTATTTATTTTTTATTATTTTGAGTATTTGAATAGGTGAATGTTAAGTTTTTCCTACTGAATATAAAAAGTTAGAAATAATGAAATAATGTGAAACACATAATATATTTATAATTATGTTAATTATAACAAGTAAATAATGAATAAACATAAATAGTTATATTCTTAAAATAAGATGGATATAATAAAATATACTTCCATTCATATACATATATTTAATTTCTAGGTATTCCTAAAAAAAGGAAAAGGTTCTTTAAACTCGCTTGTAATAAAAATTAACAAAATATTTCTTCATACTAAAAAGATACATGAATTCTTCCTTTTTTATTTCAGGGTATCAATCTTAGTGGTGGACAAAAACAAAGAGTTAGTTTGGCTAGAGCTGTGTATCAGGATGCTGATATTTATCTTCTTGATGATCCTTTGAGTGCTGTTGATGCAAGTGTAGGAAAATATCTTTTTGATGACGTTATTGGAAGAAATGGCATTTTATGGAACAAAGTATGTTGTATAAAATAAAATTTATAAAAATAATTAATGATATTTTTAATTGTTTTTATTTGTCTAGTAAACTAGATATCTTAATTTCTATTCCTACTAATATACATGCTATTTACCTAATTTTCAGACAAGAGTACTTGTTACTCATAATATTTCACTTTTATCTGAAGTGGATTATATAATTGTATTAGATGATGGCATGATAATAGAACAGGGTTCATATCATCAACTTCTTGAAACAAATGGAAAATTTTCTAACTTATTGAAGCAGGAATCTCAAATGAAGCAAACTGTTGAAAATCAGGAAGATAAGTTAGTGATATTTATTTTTATTTACAATTTAATAATAACAACAACAATAATAATAAATTCACAAAATGTTTATGAACTTTTGAGAAAATAATAAATTTACTTGATAATCCTTATGTGCCGACCCTGCTGTTAAGCGGGACTAAAGCCAAAGAAAAAGAAGATTTGATAATCCTTATCATAATTATAATTTTATGTAAATAATATTGTTGTTATTTACATAATAATAATTGTTAATAATGTTGTTATAATATTAACAAACCAGAAATTTCATTAAATACTTTCAATAAAATGTGAAATGTTTTGAGAATATATTTTCATCATTTTTTTATTTTAATTATGTTTACTACTCTTTATTATTTACAATATCATCTTGTTATTTTACTTTTTATATTAAAAAATGATTTAATTTTGTGTATCCTAATTTGTCTGTTGTTTGATTGTTTTTGTAGCCTAGGAAAACACAATTTTCTTAAAAACTTTACTTAAATTACCTTGACAGGACCATTCTGTTTTAAAATTTTCATTCATCATTTAATCTAACATGCTTAAATACATTAAGAGTATTTGTTTTTGTCTTAATTTATCTTTATTTAGATAACAACTATGGTAAATATATAATCTTTCTCTTTCTTAAATTTCTATCATCTATTCTTTCTTTCTGTAGATTTCATCTATTTAGACATATATACCTCTAATTTTTTTTAAACCTCATTTAATTGTATTATTATAATTGTTTTATTTGCATTGGAAAGACGGCCTCTGATTAAATTGGCAAAATTAAATTAAAAGTTTATGCATTTTTCAATAATTTATAAGATTATATAAGATGAAATTTAGCAAAATAATACTAAAAAAATAGTGTGTTACATAAATATATTTAATAGGTTAAATGATGATGTTTCTGAAGGAAAAGAAATAAATAAAATAGAAAGTAAAAAAAATGGTCAATTAATTGAAGAGGAACGAATGGAAATAGGAAGGGTAGGTGTTTTTTTAAAATGTTTAAGTTTTGAAGTTATATTTACAACATACATATAATTTAAATAATTTCTTTTTGAAAAAAATTAATATTACTTGATGTTTTATTAAATATTCATTTAATTAAGAACTAAATGCATATAGGAATAAATATGTATTATTATTGAATAAATATTTTCCTGTTTTATTAAATTTTTTTCTTGAAATGAACAAAGTCTAGTTCTTTTTTTATTTGTACATAAAGAAATATAGTTTAGACATATCTAAAATCTTAATTTATATAATTATATAAGAATATCTACAAAAAGTTTTGCCAAACATTCCATTAGTTACCTGTATGAAAACCAAAAGAGTATCATTTAATTAAATTTTATAACTAGTTACTTCATGTTTATTGTTTGTTTGTATTGTTTGTTTGTATGTTTATTGTTGAAGTAAACTAATGATGGAACAGAGCGTCAACTAGACGAACACACATGCGTCTCATGTAACACCTAATTGTTTCTAGAATTTCCTTTAACGGTTCACTCTGTCCCATCAGTAATTCATTTTCACACCTGAGGAAGAACTCACAGTAGTTCGAAAACGTTTGTGGTGATCTTTATCGTTTGTTTTTATATCACACCAGTTATAGGTTCTTAGAGTGCAGTAATTAGTTTTATTTTGTAAAAAAATAAAAATATAATTAAATATTGAAAATGAAATAAAGATTAAAACAAAACTAAATACAGTAGACCCCCCTATAACGCTTAGATACGTTCCACGCTAACCGAAAATTACGTTGTAGGAACGATTAAATACATGAGCCAATCGCAGCCCGATAGGTGGGAACTTTACGGACTAAGGCTGTTTGAAAGGTTTTCTTCTATAAAATTAACCGATTCTAGACTAATTCCACTCAACATTTCCAAAATACGTATAATTTTTTGGGAATAATCTGTATAAACTATGCTATAAACAAAAAATTATAGGATTACTTAC